GAATTGTTGGGGTCAAGAAAGGGGGCAGAGCTAAAGACATCATATTTAGCCAATGAGAGAGCACTGTGAGATATCAGATAAAACTATATTAAAAATCATTTGTATAATTTACTCAATTTGGGAATTCTTATGCACTCACCAGAGACTAAGTTCCCACGTCACAAAACTCATTCAACAATCTAAGTTTCCGTGAGTGGGCGTGCTCTTCAGTCACTGCCCAAGAGGGGGGAGGGGGGAGGGGTGATGGGGCCTCTGCCTCCCAGACACCCCCAGGGAACCTTGTCCTCACCTCAGTATCCATGGCAAGATAGAGCCGAAACTCGAGATCACCGAGTGGACTTCGACTGAGAGTGACGCTTTCCATGATCTTTTAACTTTATTTGTGGCATTACCATTTGTGTCTGCAAATTATTTTTTTGTACTGACGACTGCAACTTTCTGTCCTCTACAAGAACACCATATTCACTTCGCCCCAACTTAGTGTATCCACATCATAAAGATTTACCTTCAATTTTGTTATGCTTACCAGAAACCAAAGTCCCTTCTTTTATTCATGATAATTAAGAGCTCCTTAATTATCAGTCAGAATACTCTTGGAAAAAAGTCTATTTCATTTTCAGGCTCAATAGGCTATATGGAAATGGAGCTAACTAGTTATATGTGCCCTGGGCTAGCCATAGACCAACACTCTGGTTTGACTGGCAAATAAACAATGAAATTATCAACTTCAAGAACAACAGCAGGTACTGACATTTCATAGTTCAGCCCTTACTGTTCTACATACTGTATTTCACAACTTTAATTTAACCTAATGACAATGGGAGCCTCCGTTGCCATACCAAACAATGTGTCTGGGTGCATGCAAAGTCAGCTGCTTGGTGGAAATATTCGGAGTACAGGAAACATAAAATTATTGCTTATTATGCTTTAGGCTGTTGCATAAACAAATGTTTAAGCAATGTGGCTAAAAAGTGGGATTAAGCCTACTTCTGAGGTGCTATTCCTGTTAAGTGTGTGCAACTTTAGAGGAGGCTCAACTATATAGGACACAGAGACATTATCCCAGGACTATCTACCATAATGTGATAGGACATCATCCTAGTGTAACTAAGTTAAAAGTGAAGCACATTTATAACCATACACTGTACATATCTATCATCATGACTTCAGATACTGATAATCACAAATTCACTTATGAGTTACTTTTGAAGGTAGAAATATTTCTCTTATTATGATTTCCCTACAAAAGTGCAAAAAGAAAATAACAGCATTATCAAAATATGACTGACACTGCTAGTCTTAATATCTTCCCTTAACATTAAGTTAGCTGTCACTGATAGCTTTCATCTCTGTGAGCCTAAGTGACCGAGAGTAAATTTGTAACTCATTTGTGTGTATCTGCAGGAGTTCCCCATTGAAAAACATTGTAAATATTGTATATTTTCAATCAAAATTAAAACATATTAGTAATAATAATTTTGTGGAGGAGGAGGAGGAGGAGGAGGAGGAGGAGGAGGAGGAGGAGGAGGAGGAGGAGGAGGGAGGAGGAGGAGGAGGAGGAGGAGGAGAGGAGGAGGAGACAAAGGAAGAAAGAAAGAAGACGGAAGAGGAGAAGACAAAGGAAGAAGAGGAGAAGAAGGAAGAGGAAGCAGAATAAGAGGAGGAGGAAAAGGAAGAAGAGGAGGCAGAAGGTAAAAAAAATAGCATTACTTCCAACAAATGTAAGCAAATTTACATAGGATTTAGGAGATGATCATTAACACACCCTTTCACAAACGACCTGAAGTCCTAAAACATCTTCATTCCCCAAAAGCCGAGTCTGAATTCAAATCCGAATCTGAAAACGCAACAATTTTACTGAAGTTGGAACAGGATAAATCATGTTTATTTTACTCGATAAAGTTTCATTGGATTATGTCGACGCTTCTCCTATCCGTTCTAAG